TCAGGGTGATAGCAGGAGACCCCATCTAGTCAATCAGAGAAAATCAGGACAATCTGATGAAGAATTTCAAAATAAAATACTTTTGAAATTTCATATATGGGCTATCGTCCTTCTGTTTTTATACAAGAATAAATAAAAAACTGTTAAATGATCAAAGACTTATTTCACTCCAGGGTGACAGCAGGACACCCCATCTTGTCACTCAGAAAGAATCTGGACAATCTGATGTACAGTTTCAAAATAAAAGACCTTTGAAGTCTCATATATGAGCTATCGTCCTTCTGTTTGTATCCAACAGTTAAAATGTTCGAATTACATTGAACCAGAACTGTCCCCCTTTTTTCTTTAACAGTGAAGAAAATTGGATATGTTAATGATATATTGACCACAAAACTCAAAATGTCCCCGGTTTTAATTTGAAAATCTGGTCACCTTAGACTAGGGCCTACAGTGCCGACTAGTGGTAAAGGTAGTCGACTAGTCGACTAGTCGATTAGTTGGTGAAACCCCTATTGTGTTTATGATTTTCTGAATTTGCCTGAGAACAAAGACATTTTAATTATTTTTTTCACTTTTGCTAATTACTGATTATTCATCAGAAAAACAAAGAGAAGGTGAATGTGTGAGGGAGTGTTTGAGCTTCCACAGACTCACTCTGTGCTCCATGAGTCAGTGGAGATGCTGTCAGTACTGATGAGCTGTGAGGGAGATGAAGGAGTTGTTAAAGATCTGATCAAAGTTAAAGTTCCAGATTATCAATGGTTGTTTCTACGTCATTGCTGACATTAAAACCCTGTTTAACTCTGATCAGATTATTAAACCTGGAGTTATTTCAAACAGGAACATTGTTTTCTAAAGTTACATCATATTTTCTTTATTCAGACTGGAGAGCTGCAGTTTGTCAGAGATCAGCTGTTCTGCTCTGATCTCAGCTCTGAAGTCCAACTCCTCCCACCTGAGAGATCTGAACCTGAGTGACAACGTTCTGCAGGATTCAGGAGTGAAGCTGCTGAGAGATCTTCTGGAGAGTCCAGACTGCAGACTGAAGACTCTCAGGTCAGTTCACTGACTCTCTGTTACTGCTGGAGATCTCACATGTTTCCTTAGTTATTCAACCTGATCCTTGTACATAAATATATTACATCCATACTTTTGTAAATGTTTTGCTCATATTTGTAATTCCCTAAATATAGTCTGCATTCATCATAACAGTTGATTGTTTCCTAAAGAAACTATTATTCTTCCACTGTTAGTCGTTTAAGTAAATGTATGTTTTCAATATTTAGTAAATGGTCTGAATAAAGAAGGTCCTCTGAACTAATATTATTTTTACATAAAGTTTACTTTCTGACATAGAAATGTTTGTGTTCCCATCATTTAGACGTGTTTTCACAGATAATAAACAGAAAGCTGATATAATGTTGAGCTACACATTTCAGACCTGAACATCTGACTGGATTATAAAAAATGTTTATCCTCATCATGTTTTCTTAATTCAGTCTGGAGAGCTGCAGGTTGTCAGAGATCAGCTGTGCTGCTCTGATCTCAGCTCTGAAGTCCAACCCCTCCCACCTGAGAGATCTGAACCTGAGTGAGAACAATCTGAAGGATTCAGGAGTGGAGCTGCTGAGAGATCTTCTGGAGAGTCCAGACTGCAGACTGGAGACTCTCAGGTCACTTCACTTACTCTCTGTTACTGCGGGAGATCTCATGCGTTCAGTTTGTAATTTAACCTAATTTAGGTACATTAATAACTCGAACCCATAAATAATCCGGGTCCGGGACCCCAAGTAATCTGAGAGCTGTTCTCTGCCATCATGACGCGCAGGGTGTTCTTTTTTAATGGTTCCTGAGCTCTGTGCTCCACTCTTCCTGTCGGCTCTGTCGGCTAAACTCCGCTGCTCCGGGATGACGGTCTAACTGCTGCTGAACCCGGAGCGCTGTTAGAACGGGAAACTCAGATACTCAGAGCAGAACTCACTGTCAGAGAACCTGATGTGCAGGGATTGTTTGTTTTTTTCAAACAATATCTTTATTGAGTTTTTCCTTTTTTACAGGCACAAACAATGACATCCACAAATACTGATAAGACATGTACAAATGAGTTGGCAATCCATGCATAATATACACCATTTTACTTACTAATACGTAACCAACCAAGTGGCAAAAAACCAAAGACCTACCAGCTGACAAGACCAGAAAAAAATAAAATAACTGACAATAAAATAAATAATAATAATAAAATAAAAAGTGAATCAATTGTAATAATTAAATAGTTTTTCTCGCTTTGGAAACATTTATGTGATCAAAAGGAAAGTAAGTACATTTAAGGAAATATGGGACACGTTCATGCATTTCCTTGAGAGTGATCAAGTGGGGATTGATGAGTGAAATTGATGAATAATAATAATGCTGCTTATAATAATAATAATAATTTCTCTAAAGGCTCGTCTTCCTGCATCAACCAGTTAGCGATATGTCGTTTGTTGATCCTAGAGGACTTAAAAACACATGATGTCAACAATTAGGGATTATTGGACTGTGCAGTTACAGTATATCTTTATATCTTCAACCTGTTAAGCCCAGAGCCTGTTTTCCAGGTCTCAGGCTCGAAAATGACATTCCCAGAACAAATGACCATAGCTACACTTATAAAAGGGATAAATTAATAATCTTTTTTCTCAAAGCAATGATAAACCTGTGAGTTAGATGTGTTTTCCTCATCCCTGTTTATGGGACTAGCCAAAAGGTTTTCACTAGTTGAATGTAAACGCTTCCTTCTGTTTGTTCCCACCTTTTCATCATCAAATTTCACAAACACAGTGCTCACAAATGTGTTGTGGATATTCTTGACAATGTCTACGACATTCCCACAGACTCCGTTTACCAAGCCATCAGACACATCAATCATTTTGATCAACATCACTCGTGCACCCTTTCCTAACAGTAACCTTTCAGGTAAATACGATTTGAACACATTTCTGAAGTGCGCTCTTTTCAATTCCATACGGTTGGATTTTTGACTTTTTTCATAATCCAGTGCCTCCACACAAAGGTTCTCTGGACATGATGCTGACAGCTGTATAATATTGTGCTCATTAACTTTTGTATTTGTTGCAAAAATATGCAACGCTGAAGAGCTTTCCCCGGTTTCACACTTTTTCAAGATAGCAAAAAGCGACGTGTTCTTAGCTCTTGTACGCAACCTGTTCAACAGTTCTTCAAAGACAGTGTCCTGTTGACGTACAATGGTGTTCAAATGGGCAATAGAGAATTTGTCAGTCCATAAATCACATAGTGTTTCCTCCAAATACAAGGATTTTCCTTTAACTGGCTTGAGTTTTGCTCCGCTCGCAGGTCCGTCACAGCGGGAGGAGCTGCGGGTGATCATGCAGAGCTGCGTGTCTCCGTCAGCAGCAGCTGATCCTGATCTCTGATCTCTCTCTTTCTGCTTCACACACGTCGCATATAGCTATTTTATTGTCTTTTTCAGACACCTTGAAAAACTGCAAGACCGGTGAAGCCATTTTGGTGAGCTTCTTTAGCAGCGCACAGAGAAAGTCTCATGTATTTTGGGTCATATGATCGGCTCTCCTGATCGGTCTTTATAGAGAGCACCTATCAAACTATTGAGTGAATATCGGCCGATAATGATCGGCGGCCGATCGATCGGACCATCTCTAGTACTTAGTGACTTTACACCTCTGGCTATAAAGATAGAAAGACAAAGCCTTGCACAGAGGCTTTTGCAAATTACAGTTTCAAAATTATCAACAGGGCTGCTAAAATTATAAACTGACTGCTTCACATTTAAAATAAATAGATTGATATATTTCTATTGGATGTGACTCTTTGCGTCTTTTCTTATTGTTACCACTGCTTCTTTACTTGTTCTGACAACACCTCTGATTATAATTGAATTTTTATTATCATGTTTTTTTAATTCAGATTGGAGAGCTGCAGGTTGTCAGAGATCAGCTGTGCTGCTCTGATCTCAGCTCTGAAGTCCAACCCCTCCCATCTGAGAGATCTGGACCTGAGTGAGAACAATCTGAAGGATTCCGGAGTGAAGCTGCTGAGAGATCTTCTGGAGAGTCCAGACTGCAGACTGGAGACTATCAGGTCAGTAAGGTGTCTCTGCTGGTTCAGCAGTATTGTATTAAACACAGGGAGGTTTTTCTCTCACTGGGGAATCACAACAGATCAGTGATGTTACCCACTGACTGCAGGTCTTTTCATTCTTCCATAAACTATAGAAGGCCAGCCGAACATGCAAAGCCCCATTTAGTAAGTAATCAACTTTCTAGGGCTGCCCTCGACTACAGATTTCTCTGGTCGACTCATAGTCTTCAATTCAGGCGATTAGTCGACTCACGTCTATGATATATTATGATTATTAATATATTAGTTTTTTTCTCCCAAAATGGTTTTAGTTTCCAAGGCTGATAAAGAACATTATTATAACAGCATGGTACGTTGTGCTTCACATAAAATATAAAATAAAACCTTTGAAATATAAATTAAATCTTACGGTAGAAAGCGAATGAGAGTCACAGTGCACGGACGCAACGGTATAAACAGCAGAAGCTCCGGTAAGGATACTTAATGTGTGTGAACAAGCAACGAGGACACACACACTGAACATTTAGTTCTAGTTTATATAATTCATATCTAAATATAACAACCCAATAAATACTACAGAGGAAACGGAAACACTGAAAATATGAGCGTCTGCAAAAATCCCTCCGGACATTAAGCCCTCATCATGAAAAGAAAGCTTGAATTTATCGTGTTCTGAGGTCAGAATGATTATATATTATAGGTCTATATACAGTATGTTGATACAAAGCTAGGCTACTGCCTGACTCACTGCTGCTGTTTTTCTCCGAGTCTGAGAAAGGAACACACGTTGTCGGGATAATTATACGGAGGAGACTTTTTCTCTGTGGAGCTTGCATGTCACCTTGTGGGACTCGTACTTTACTCGCTCCGAAAGATCCAAACTTTAGATTTCCTGCCCGACAAAATTATCCTAATGACCAGGCTCGGCTCTGAATGAAGTCAGAGGGTTTCCAGCTGACTCCTCAAATCACATGCAGAGAGCGGATGGAGCTTTTTTTTTGTTCGACTAATAGACTAATGATGAAATTAGTCAACGATATTTTTTTAGCCGATTAACGTTTAGTCGACTAATTGGGGGCAGTCCTAAAACTTTCAACCAGACAAATGGGATTTTACAGAAGAGAGGAAAAGGTAGTCTATTTTTTATGGGATGTTTCTAGTTTCTTAACTAATGACTGGTTACTTCCTGTAATGCAGCTGAGAGCTATGTCAGTCAGTCGTAGTGATTGCAGAGAAGATATGATGGGATGTAAAGCATGAGATCAGGACTCCGAAGCTGACTAACTCAAAGAACAAACACTTATTTTAAGCTTGATCTAAAACTTTTTGGTTGTTTTCATCCCTACAGGATCAGAGGAGAGACAATCAGAGCCAAGATCCAGAAGAACTGTGAGTACTGAAACCATATCCTCCATTCATCAAGATATTAAACTCTTTAATGGAGCATGTCCTCAGAGTAAAACAACATTCTTGTTTTTCTCTCTTCATCATTTTGGCTGTTTCTCTTCATGTTTTTATTATCATCATCATTCTCTCTCAATTCTCCTCTCAGGTGAACAGGAAGACAGAAAGGTGAGAGGTCGTACCGTGTGAAGTTTATTTATTGTGATTTCCCTATTTCTCTTTCAGGTCCGGGGGGGTTACCTGTTGACCCGTGTCCGTCTCCACAAGTGTCCGCAGGCATCCCCTAATACTGCGTTTGGGGGGATGACGTTCTGTAATCAAAGCACTGTTGTCTTTGAAACGCTCTCAAAGTCTTTGATGACAAAGTCAGAAAAATGACAAGAAGAAATATTTTGAAACTCTTGAAAGACTTTGTGTTTTTCACCCCAGGTTAATTAATGTCCAATCAAATGTTTCCTTTGATTTCTAAAAGGAGCTCTGCCTGGTGCCATTGAATGCATGTAGTCTGTATGAAGTCTAATTAGATATAACCTTTAAGATGTGTTGTGATATCTCTAAAACGAATTATAGCTGTGCAGAGAGTGGATTCAGATACTGTAGACGGGGGTCTATGTGCAGGTGAAGAACTGACCCTGGGTCAGCAGAGTTTCTGCAGTGGACAGGCTTTAGATGTCCTGCCGATGTGGAGACACCTCGCACAGGAAAGAGTTTTCATGGTTTCTCTGTTCTCCTTTATAAGGTAACTCACTGCAGGCTGCACTCTCTTTAGGACGGACAATGTTCACATTAAAGATCTGTATATAAATACAATATAAATTATATCTCCTGCACATATCCCGGCTGAGTGGACAGTCTGACTCCGGTCTGACAGTCATGATGAGAACAGCTCGACTTATACTTATTAAGTCTTAATAACAACTTAATAACCTTCACCCATTGTCCCTGCTAGTGTTTTACCTGCCGACACGCCCACCAATGGTAATCAGTGATTTAGAAGCTGCAGCTGATCTGAGGCCAGTCCCTGCAGCTCCACAGCCAGTGAAGACAGATAAAACTCAACATCACTCATCAGGGATGTATCGATGCATTGTGAACCGGTTAAAGATCGGTACAGATGTGTTAAGATTAAAACCGGTTGAGCTAAAAAATTAATCGTGATGCAATTTTTTTTAACGGCACAGGTCGTGAACTAATTTAGATTTGATTTGATTTGCTGGAACAGCAGTCTGGACATGATTGAACGCTATCACAACAACTTGCCGTGGCAGCTGCTCTGCTCAGTGCAGAAGTCTGTCGAAATGCCCGTGAAATCGACACACTGGATAACTCAGACATCCGTGATGCCGAGGACCAGGGGTGTAGAGCTGCCGGAGCACACCGGAACGCGGCTTGGCACTTCAAACATTGCAGTACCCATAAGGAGCCGTACACATGCAGCAGTTTTTTGCGTGGCTGTGTCTTTAGTTGAAAGCCCAGTGGCGATCTGTCATACTGATCATACAATAAAGCCATCGAAAATAATATGATACAGTACAAATGCTATGGGTCTCTGTGTTTCATTCAAGCTCGGCTCTGTGTGAGTGCGCGAGCGAGCGCACCGGTACCGGGGATTATTGTTAGCATCTGGTTAGCTAGCTACGCTAACGGATATAAAGAGCTGTTTCTAGAACAAGGTGGAGGAGAGCCCTCTCCTGTCAGATAACTACAGCTCAGTGAGGTAAGGGACTCTCTGATAGTTTAGATAGTTAACTTACGTCTAAGTTATCTCAGTCTCAAACGGTTTGGTCATCATTTATGTAAACAAGTATTTCCGAGGCACACCTTTTTATATGATCATTATAGTTCTAAAAAAATAAGAGATTAATTAAAAGTTTTAAAAGGTGATTTGTAAAATATCCATTAAGAAAAATAAAATCTGTTTACAGTTCTGTTTCATATGGGTGTTGAGAGCTGTATCCATAGATCTCTTGATCGAGCAGAGCATACATTTCAAGCTGCACTTTATTTTTATTTATTTCAAGGGGTTTTTTCTTTTGATGGAGTCATTTTGATTTGGGATTTGTTTTCAAAATCCAATTATATATCTTTTTGTTATTTAAGATAAAATATAGTTGCACAGTTTACAGTTTCAGTTGCACTTTTGATGAGAACATGTACGTTGTTGTGTACAGTTTATATAAATACAGAAATATTTTTCAGTCATAATTTCTCCGCAGCTCATTCTGTTAAAAACAATAAAACATCTTGAAAAAATCGTATCGTGAACTTAAAATCGTGAATCGTATCGAATCGTGAGCTGAGTGTATCATTACATTCCTACTCGTCAGGCATCAGAGAGACTTCAAAGGGGTCGAGCACCTGCCTTTTTGACTCCTATTAGAAAAGAGACCTTTTTCAATGCTTTTTTACATTATCCTACATTAAAAAAAAGTATAAACCTGTGTCTAACACACCTTCTCTAAAGCTTATGTGTTGCTTTTTATAACTGTGTGGAAATTATATATTATTTGAAATTTGAATTAAATTAAACAATTTAGTTGGCACATAGTAACAGTCATAGCTGAGTTTTTCTAAAATCACAACAATTCTGACGTTTTCTAAAAATTCCGACTTTTTCTAAAATCACAACAATTCTGATATTTTCTCAAAATTCCGACTTTTAAATAAATTTATAAATTCTGACCTGTTTTAAAAAAAAGCTTGGGTTTTTTAAATCACAAAATTCGCACTTTTTCACCACATCACAAAATTCGCACTTTTTCCTAAAATCACATAATTCTGACTTTTTTCCTAAAATCACATAACTCTGACTTTTTTCCTAAAATATCTAAATTCCCACTTTTCCTTGAATCACAAAATTCTGACTTCTTCTCAAAATTCTGACTTTTTCTCAAAATTCTCACTTTTTCTTAAAATTCTGACTTGTTTTCTCAGAATTCTGACTTTTTTCTCGAAATCTCATACTATATAGTATATATAATTATTGAGATCCTCAGAACCTGGATCTTCACTCTTCAGAGTGTTCCCTGTAACCCATGCATCGTCTGTGATATTCCAGTATCGACAGTCAGGAAATGCAACATGTCTCCAGTGTAATTCGCACCTACTGCTTTTATTTTCTAAGCGTTTCTGTTTTTAATAAATGGAGATTATTCATCTGTGTGGAAGAGTTTTATTCATGCAGCATTATGTGTCCATCAGCAGAAGAGGACTTTTTAAAGTAGAGACACTACATACTGATATAGCCTACACCTGAACATCAGCAGGAGAGGACTCTTTAAAGTAGAGACACTACTGATATACAACTGAACATCAGCAGGAGAGGACTCTTTAAAGTAGAGACACTACATCAGTTGTCTCAGACTCCAGGCCCTCATGGCCCCTTTGTTGATATCATGTAATAGTGTTAATCTGGCCCGCGTGTTTACGTTTGTACGGAGCCCCTAAAGGGACATGGAAAAAAAAAAAAAAATNAATTTCAAAAGTATTTTATTTTGAAATTCTTCATCAGATTGTCCTGATTTTCTCTGATTGACTAGATGGGGTCTCCTGCTATCACCTCAGGGTGATAGCAGGAGACCCCATCTAGTCAATCAGAGAAAATCAGGACAATCTGATGAAGAATTTCAAAATAAAATACTTTTGAAATT